CATCTGGAACACCCCCCCCCCCCGAAAAAAAATGGCAGCATGACTGGCTACAAGACGGCACTTAACAACAACAACAACAACAACAAATCTCTGGGAAGCCAAACCCCCCTCTAAGGGAACACATGAGCAGGCATGTAAGCTTATTGATGGCCACATTGGTCTACTGGTAAGTGGAAGAGGGGGAAATACAGCAATGAGTTCCACAGACTCCCATTGACCTGGAGGTGAGAGAGAGAAGAGGAAGGGCTGCTTAGCCCAAAGTGTGGTGAGACCTGGGGACACCTGAGCCTATGGACAAGGACATAGCCACAGTGGGCTAGAGCTGAGATTGAAGCATCCAGCTGATATGAAGTGAGGGGAGACGCACAAGAACACCCAAAGTTGCAGATAGTACCTATTTGACCTAGCCTTGATGGCTTGATAATCAGAACTTGACTAGAGGAAGATTTAGAAGGAAAAAAAAAGGAGAGAGAACAAAACAATTTTTGATAAAGGAAACGAGACTAAATTGCCACAATTTGAATCATGGAGGTAGTAACTCTAAATATGAACAAAGAGGGAAGGAGTCTTCACATCAAGTATCAATGCTGTCACCTCTGTACACAGGGTAGATAGGGAACTTAGACATTGGCTACCTAAAATGAGGGGGCAATAAAGTCACTAAGTGACTGGCTTACAAGGTTTCAAGGGGAAGTTTAGTTTAATAGTGGGGAGGGGGGAGAAAGAGTCCGCACTGAATAGTTTTCTTCTTGTCCAGATGGGTCTGGTTAAAAGAGATGGGGATAATTCTTATGATATAATAGTGAGTAATTCTTATCATGACTAATTGCTACTGTCACAACTGTAAAGGTAGAAGTTTTGTAACAAAAACGGGGGAGTAATCTTACAGTCCAGAAACAAAGGACCCTAAGACCATCAAGGGAGTAGAGCACTAGTGGAATGCAGGACCTTATCCAGAGAAGCAGTGACACCAGAGATGGAGGCAGAGATGGTGACATGGAGAGAGGGAGCAGCCGAGAACTCTAGATTCATGGGAAGAAAGGGACTAAGATAGCAGCCAGAAGGCAGACTTGCAGAATGTGCCCTTTTGTCGAGGTCCTATATCGGGGTCCCGCCTCAACAAGGAAGTGTGGGTGTCACGAAGAAGGGAGATCTGGTGGCAAAAGTGATAGAGAAAGAGAGAGATGAAATATATACAAATAAGACAGACACACAGATATGATGCAAGTTGGCAGGTAGACAGATCTGCAAACATTTTGCCTAGCATTGCCCAGCATTGCCCAGCATTGCATGCAGAACTCACTTTACCTCAGCCTTTTATTCTCTTTTTTGGGGAGGGATTTGTTACAAAGGAAGGATGTAATTCACTCAGGGAGGATGTTACAAAGGGAGGATGTGATTAAGACAGGATACAGAACTGAAATGTGATTAATCATTCAAAACAGGACATAATGATTCACAGGAACAACTTTTAAGATATTTTCATAGTTTTTCTTAACAATCTAACATTTTTATTTTTACAGAAAAAAGGTTCAATCAAGCTGCTATATATTAACTTTTAGGCTTAAGTGATCTAGAATAGCAACGTGCGGTTTCTTAAGGATACATAACATAAGCAAGGTTCCTGAAAGGAGCCAAGCTGTCTCTGTACACTTTGCAAACTTTTGTTTGTGAGCAAGATCTCAGGCACAGGGCTTCATTTATCTATACCTAAAATGCTACATTGTTCTTAATATTCCTATATACTTTCAGGAGGAAGAAGAGCATCTGGGTTAAACTGATTATATTCAGAGGTGGTTTAATGGGGCTGCCACTGATCAACCAAGGGTCTGCGTATGCTGTTCCCAGCATCCTTTGGTGGTGTAAATTATTATATATGGCTGAGTGTTTAAAAAAAAAAAAAAAAGAGCTAAAATGAATATAGAGAAATACTGTTAACTGATGGTACATAGAGGGGATTGTAATCATTGTGATGAAACACAATGATTTGTGTTGATTTGTATGATTTGTTGAATGTAAAACTGATGATCTGCCCTATAAACTTTTACTCACTCCACAAAACAAAAACAAAAACAAAAAAACTTGTTCTCTATGAAAAACTAAAAATAAAACTACCATATGACCCAGTAGTTGCACGCCTAGGTTTATACCCCAAAAACTTAAAAGCAGAGACTCAAAAAGAAACTTGTACACCAGTGTTAATTGCGGCACCATCAACAACAGTCAAAAATTAGAAACAAATGCCCATGAACAAATAAATGGATAAACAAAATGTGGTAGGCACATTCATCCAATGGAATACATCAGTTAACAGGAGAAATGAAGTCCTAATACATGCTCCGTTCTGAATGGAGTTTGAAGACGCTGTTGCTGTTGTAGTTAGGTGCTGTTGAGTGGGTTCTGACCCATATAGTAACCCAATGCATAACAGAACAAAACACTGATCCGCCCTGCAAAATCCTCACAATTGTTATTAAGCTTGAGCCCATTGCTGCTGCCACTGTACCAGAAGAGGGGTCTTTCTCTTTTTTGCTGACCACCCACAAGCATGATGTCCTTCTTTAGGGACTGGTCCCTCTGATAATATGACTGAAGTCTGAGAGATGAAGTCTTGCCATCCTTGCTTCTAAGGAGCATTCTGGCTGTGCTTCTTCAACACAGATTGGCTTGATTTTCTGGCAGTTCATGATACTTTTAGCATTCTTCTCCAATATCACAACTCAAGTGCATCAATTCTTCTACAGCCTTCTTTATTCATTGTCTAAATTTGGTGTGTGACACTGTGGGTTAGTGTGCTGGACAGAAAAGTCTGTTTGAACTGCGAGGTCGACGGTTCAGGCTCCTCGGAAACCCTATACAGAGTCACTATGGGTTGGAACTGACTCAACGGCACTTAACAACAACAGTAAGGCTACTGAAAATACCATGGCTTGGGTCAGGTGCACCTTAGTCCTCAAACTGCCATCTTAGTTCTTAAACATTTTAAAGAGGTCTTATGCTGAGTAAAGAATTCTGGTGTGGCACTATAGGATAAGCACAGGACTGCAAGGTCGGTTTGAACCACAAGATTGGTGGTTCAAACTCGCCAGCTGCTCCTTGGGAACTTTATGCTGAGTAAAGACTAAGAGTAAAGAATTCTGGTGTAGTGCTGTAGGATAAGTACTGGACTGTTAACTGCAAGGTTGGCAGTTCAAACCCACCAGTTGCTCCTTGGAAACCCTATACAGGGTCAGAACCAACTCTACAGCACTTAACAACAATAACAACAACATACTGAGTATAATAGTCAATCACAAAAGGATGAATACAGTATGTCGCAACTTACATAAAAAGACAAGAAAAGGCAAATGTGTAGAGGACAAAGTTTATCAGTGGTTACCAGGAATCAGGAGGGTTATGGGAAGGGGGTTATTATGGCTTATGGAATACTAAGTTTTGGTTTATGGTAATTGCATAGATTAAGGGAAATTACACATTTATTTTAAGTGCTGTCAATAAGTTGTACACTTGTAAAAGGTTGAGTTGGCAAAAGTTGTGAATAGGCTGCTCATGTGCAACCAAATACTTCATAGGAGTTGGTTCCTTGGTTTGAAGGTTTTAGGTCATGGTTTTATGGGACACCCCAGTTAATCAGACTAATAACATGGGTAGTTCCTGGGGTCTTCAAAGCTTGCAAGCAGCCATCCAGGAACAACAGCTGGGCTCTGTTTACCTGGAGCAACAGAGGAGGAAAGAGAGTCAGGACTCATCGGAGGAGATGTGTGGCTAATTGTGTCCATGAACAACCATGAGACCAGAAGAAGTGGATGGTCCCCGGCTACCGGTACTGAACAGTTTGGTTGAATGAAATTCTTTAGAAAAATCCTGATGAAAAGGAAGGAAATGCAGAGCAGAATTTCAAATTTTCATGAACTCAAGACTTTCTAGAGGCAAAGGGGCTGAATGAACTCTATAAACTATTGCTCTGAGACAATGTTTAAAACTTAAAATAAAAACATCCCCTGAAGTCTTCTTAAAACCAAACAATAGTAACAAAAATAGAAAATGTCTGCCTTGAGCGTATGTCTTTTAAGAGCCACCATATGGGATCATCTTGACAACAGCGACTAGAAAGATTAGATAGGAGGAACTTTAGGGGGCGGTGAGTTAGGAACTTTAGGGAGCAGTGAGTTTATGGTAATAGGAGAGGAACAGTTCAGAAAAGGATGCTGAGAAGGTTGCATGACTTCAAGAATGTCATCAATGTCACTAAACTGTACATGTAGAAAATGGAATTGGTATATGTTTTACTGTGTATATTCTCAATAACAAATGGCCTGTGGGAATACCTGCCACTTTGACAGGGCACAGGATAGGTATACTAGGACAGAGTATTACTAAAATGTCTAATGTATTACTGTGTTTTGTTTTGACAGATTTATCAGCAAGACTGTTGAAAGTTTAACCATCCAAGATGCCTGTCCCTCCCCCTCCTGGACCCCCACCACCCCCGACACTTGCACTGGTGAGTGTCCCCTTGCTTTCGTCTTCTATGCATAAAGCATGTCTAGTGAGATCCAAGCCTGCCGCCTGTATTTATTGTAACTCTACTTGCTTTCTGGCCTAAATATGATATAGCAAGCTTTCCCAGAGTAACCTGAACCCCGAGACTTAGCGACTACAAACACCCACGGTTTTTCTTGCCTAAGGTCTCAGGCCATGCTCAGTACAAGGGTGGAATGTGGATTACTTCAGTTTTTTCCACCATGTCCACCAGCATGAACATCCTGTTCCTCCCCAGGCGCTGACCCCAACACAGGGGTCTGCAGGAGCAGTTCTGAGATCTGGATGCTTCCATTCAAATGCACTTTAACTTCTAGGCAGGACAGTCCAGAAACCCAGGTCTTGTGCTGTCTGAAAACACATCCATTAAAATGCTCTCCAGACCACAAAGGCGGTTCAAACTCAACAGCCGCTCCTTGGGAACCCGATTCAAGGGTACTTAACAATAACAGTAGCAACAATAGTACAAACTGAATAAGACTCCTACCTCACGTTGCTAAAAATTTAGTTTCAGAAGACCATTCTTGTTTATACATATTATAAGGAAAGAGAGAAGTACAGAACTTACGGAAAGAAAATTTAATTATTCTGGATGCTGCAAAAAAAAATACGGCTATGAAGTGATTGATACATTCACTATAACAATGGGAAGGTACAAAGGGTTTCTGTCGGGAAGTGTGGATGTCATTACCATGAGGATGTCTCTATGAACTTCCTTGAGGCCACCCTACTTGGGCCTCTCCATATATACCTCACTTGATAGAGACAGAGTGCTGATGGTGGAGCCAAGCAAAATGAAATCTTTTGACAACTTCAATCTTTTCTCCATTGACCTTGATGTTATTTATTGGTCCAGCAGTGAGGATTTTGGTTTTCTTTACATTGAGGTACAGCCCATACTAAAGTCTACGGCCTTTGATGTTCATCACTTTTGTGTTCTGGACATCTATAAAGAGGATGTTCTACCATGATTTCTAACTTGGCTCCAATTAGCAGAAGATGTCCTTCTCAAATGATTCAACTTTATTTATTTCCTGTCACAGCACCAACCCCTTTACACTAAAAATTATGGTATCTGAGAACCACAAAATAAACTTAGCAAAAACCCTAAAAAAAAAAGTCAGTCATGGTTTCACTGCTATCTTTTTGTGAGCCTTCCCCCTTTCCTTCCCACTCTCTCTCTCTGTTTTGACAACGATCATCCCCACCATCACCACCCCCCACTTACACACACACATTTTTCTGTAAATCTGTCCTTATCTCAAGATGTCTGCTTTCCAAAGACACTTCCTGACTGGACTCATCCTGGCCCCTTGATAGACCTTCTTTGGAAATCACTGTACCCTCTTCCAGACACAGCCTCGATCTTAGAAGCAGGCAGCTGCCATTTGCGATATGGGAGGCGCCAAGACATTTCATTACAAAGGCCTTCCCAGTCTTCATTGCTGAGGAGCCTGGCAAAATGACGATCCCTTCATTTTTCACATGGGGAACCTAAACCCCAGAAAAGGCAAGTCGGTTACCCCAGGCCCTCACGGGACATACTGATAGCCCATTTGGAAACTAGATGGGAAAAACAGACCATTAATAAGCTCAGTGATATTCAGAGTGTGGTTCCCAAAGAAATAAGTATAAAAGTTTAAAAGTTGAGAGTAAGCATTTAGAAATGACTCCACGGCACTTAACAACAGCATAGCAATTTGATGTCTGTTACATGCTTTTTCTAATAATACTACATCCTTCTTCTTTTATAGACTAATTAATTTTTACGTTTTTAATTTGGCAAAAGTACCAATCTGTGATGGATTGGAAAAGCTTCTTAAAGAACTAGTCCTTCACAAAAATATGGTCAGAGAAGCTCGGAGCTGACTAATACAGCAGGGTTCGTTCGTTCATCTGTCTTCCCAGGAATGTAGTTCACTGCTGGGTGGCACATGGAGTGATAGTTTAAATTTTAACATTATGTATTTATTTTAATATTTTTCTAATCTAAAAATTATAACCAACACATCAAACCCAGGATTTAAGAGTGAGTCAATTTAAAAGAAACAATCCATTGAAAAATCGTTTCGTAAATAATATAGTGAATTGATTTAGTGAGATATTAAATAAATGACACAAGAGGCCTCAGAAGATGACAGAAATCATAAAAGTTGTTCCAAAATGTTGAATTTTGGAAAATGCTGGTTTATCCTGTCCACTCGTTTCTCTCCATTGTTGTTGTTAAGTGCTGGTGAGTCGGTTCCAACTCATAGCGACCCTTTATAGGGTTTCTGAGGAACCCTAGTAGCATAGTGGATTATGCGCTGGGCTGCTAACCGCAGGTCAGTAGCTAAAATCTACCAAATGCTCCTCAGGAGAAAGATAAGGCTTTCTGCTCCTGTAAAGATTTACAGCCTTGGAAACCCTATACAGGGTCGCGATGAGTCAGAACTGACTCCACAGCACATAACCACCACCAAGACCACCCATACATAGGGTTTCTGAGGAGCGGCTTGTAGGTTTGAACTGCCAGCCTTGCAGTTATCTTGTAGTTAGCAGTCCCATACTTATCCGATAGCACCACACCAGGTCTCTTTATTGTTGTTAAGAGTTTTGGTATGATGCTGTAGGATAAGAACTGCATCAGAAAGTCAGTTTGAACCACAAGGTCAGTGGTACAAACTCACCAGCTGCTCCTTGGAAACTCTATACAGGGTTGCTATGAGTCAGAACCGACTTGACAGCACTTAGCATCAACAAATAAATTAATATGCATAATGTGCTAAAATCAGCACTTGGCCCATAATAAGAGCTATATAGATGTTAACTTCTACTATCATGAGCATAAGATGCTGTATAATTTAATTATCTCAAGCCCTAGTGGTGCTGTAGGATAACCTAAAGGCCAGCAGTTCAAATCTACCAGTTGTCCCTTAGGAGAAGATTTACAGCCTTGGAAATCCTATAGAGGCTGCTAAGAGTCAGAGTCCTCGTGTCGTGCCATAGGATAAGCACAACCTCAAGGTCGGTTTGGACACAGGACCAGCTCTTTGGAAATTCTATACAAGGTTGCTGTGAGTCGGAACTGACATGAGAGCACCTAACAACAGAACAACAACAATGACTCGGAATAGACTCGATGACAGTGGGCCTGTTTTTTGGGGTTTCTTCTAGTTTAACACAGGAGTCCTAGTGTGGTGCTGTAGGCTAAGCACTGGTATACTAACCGCAGATTTGTGGATCAAATCCACCAGTAGCTCCTTGGAAACCCTATACAGGGTTGCTATGAGTCAGAACTGACTCAATGGCACTTAGCAACAACAACAACAATAGATGAACACACAGTGATTAATTTTTAGCCTACTTTAGAGTTTTTCTTAGCTCTCACTCTGACAATAAGTAGCTATGTGGAAAATCAAGCCATAAGCTTCCCCAGATTTGGCTCGCATGGCCATCACTGGCATATCTGAAATCTGGCCTCTTTAGGAAGGGCTGGTGTTAAGTTAGAAAGATTCAGGATGGTTTGACAAACCTGGAGCAGCCAGAGAGAGACTCCTTGAGTATAACCAACAGTTTCCAAGATTGACAGACACAGGCAGATGCCTACTTCCTTCTCTTGTCATCCCGAATCTCTAAAATAACCCTGGAGAAACAAGATCACAATTTCATGGGGAGGAATTTGCTCAGGAATTCTGAATATATAAGAAAATACCCAAATACTTTAAGGCAGTGCCTTTGTCCATTTTGCAGTCTTCTGTGAGCTAAGCTTTCAAAAAGATGAACCATCTTAGGCCAAAGGGGCATGAAGGAACGTTACTGGGTAATGGAAAATGTTCTGCATTTGTTCTCGTTTGTGGTGGTGATTATACAACTGTCAAAACTCATGGGACTGTACACTAAAGGATGATTTCACTGTGTCTAATGATACCTCAATAACTCAGACTTCAATTTTCTAAAGAAAAACATCTTTGGTAATGGAGATAGAAGAATTATTTTCTAAACCTTTTAAGTAGATATTTTAAATGATACTTACAGCTGACCCCTTAGCTGGAATTGATTTCCCCTTGCACTAGATGAGTTCTAACTAGCAGAAAAGGGAAGCAATTCTTCAGGACACATTATGGAGAAAAGAGCCTAGTATTTTCCCGCAGTGTCCTCCTGGACTTAAAATTCCCTTCTCGTACCCTGGCTCTGTTGGTTACGGCCAGATTTTTCAGAGACGTTTATCAGACACTGACTCTTCCTGCTTTAAAAATGAGCGTAATTTATTGCTTCATCTGCTCCCAAACATCTGGGTCTTAAAAAGGATGACATTGGATCTAAAACTTGTGGGGAATTTACAATCTTTTGCCAAGAATGAATAACCCGATTCCAGTGCCCTAACTGTCCCGGGTGAATGTTGTAGTGCAAGGATTAACTCTAGGAGATGAATGTGAATTTGCATGGTTTCCTTTTAGGCCAATACAGAAAAGCCTACCTTGAACAGAGCAGAGCAGGCTGGGAGAAATGCTCTCCTTTCGGACATCAGCAAAGGGAAAAAACTAAAGAAGGCAGTCACCAATGACAGAAGTGCACCGATTTTGGACAGTAAGTGAAAAATTTATTTTCCATGGAGATAAATGGTTTATGGCCTAACAATCAACTCTGCCCCTCCCAATGGAATTTTTTTTTTTTTTTTTTTTAATGCTAACAACAGCTGCAAAGTTAACAGAATAAGGGGACTGTATCACTCATTGTAGGCCAGAGCACTGGCTGGGTTCCCCCCAAATGCTGCAGGAAGCCAGTATAATAATTCTTTGTCCAAGACACACACAGCAGCAATTCTCTGAGTTGCTTACAACACTTTCTAAAATTTAACCCATGGCTCCTAGTACTAGAGATCAGGAGGTAGTGTGAAATATGGAATGGACTTCAGGCTTGGAATCCAAAGATAATGGGTTCAAGTCCTGGCACAGCCTTTCTTACTGCCTTCAAGCTTTATTGCCTTCATTTGTAAAATAAAGATGATAAGACCTTCCAACTGATCTCACAAGTTAGTTGTGAGCATCAAATGATATAATATCTGTAAAAGTGCTTTGTAGTCTGGATATGTAGTTCAAGATATGTAATAGACGATTATCAAGAGTTGAGAGAGAGAGGAAATGAGACCACAAGTTTGTTTATCCATCAAAATACTTTCAGGGATAAGGTAGGGTATGTATAAACAGACAAGTACCCATAACACAGGACTACTTAATAACATTTACACAAAATGAAAAACGATCCATGAATAAACTCTTATGTGAAGGAACCCTGGTGGCTCAGTCGGTTCAGTATTGGACTGTGAATTGCAGGGTTGGCAGTTCAAACCCACCAGAAAAATGAAGCTGTTTGCTCCTGTAAAGATTGCCAGTCTAGCATCGCTATGGGTCATAATTGACTCAACGCTAGTGTTATTGTTGACTTGGTTCTGACTCATAGCCCCCCTGTTGTTGTTGTTGTTGTCGTCATTAAGTCCCAATGATTTGATTCTTACTCATAGCAACCCTGTATAGGATTTCCAAGGCTTTAAATCTTTGCAGGAGCAGAATGTCTCTCCCATGGACCTTGTGGTTCACAGTCCAGTGCTTATCATATGGAGCCATTGTGCTCCCAGCGACCCTTACTCTAGTGGTAATTGATAATTGAGCCTTGAGGTTCTCTTCCCATTATTAGACCTTTCCCCTGCCTGCCAGATGTCCCCAGAATTCATCCTCATTACATATCCCATTTGGAACTCAATAGGAAATGAACTGACTCTCCCAAATCACCAGAAGATGCAGGGTTAGAAGTTCTTAGGAGGGATTGATGGAAGAAACACCTAGTGACAGAGAAGAAGATGGACTGATGTTAGGTGGGAACATTGATCTGGAAGGAAAATGGAAAAGAGGAAGGCCAAGGTAAAGACTTTTAAACCAGCATTTTTAACTGGTTGCTCTGTAATCGACAAGGTGGAGCCAAGAATGTACCAACCATCAAAAAGGATCTATGAGGTTTTGACCCTAAGTCAAATGCCCACTAAACTGATGTGATTATTATCTAACCCAGGGGAGGGAACATCCGGCCTGTGGGCCATATAAGGCCAGCAAAATCATTTGGCCTGGCCCTGGCAAGGCAAATGCAGTTCCAGCCATCACATTGTTGTTGTTGTTAAGTGCCATCGAGTCGGTTCCGACCCATAGCGACCCTGTACAGGGTTTCCGAGGGTGTAAATCTTTACGGGAGTAGAAAGCCTCATCTTTCTCCTGCGGAGTGGCTGGTAGTTTCGAACCGCTGACCTTAAGGTTCGCAGCCCGATTCGTAACCACTACACTACCAGAGCTCCATAGCCATCACATTAGGGGTGAGTTAATTAAATGTTTGACCAAATATAGCAGGCAAATTTTTAAGTTGAGAATTTTGTATCATCTGGAAATGATGTTATAAGTACTTAAATGGCCCTTGGCAGAAAAAAGTTACCCCACCTCTGATCTAGCCCCTTAGTCCTCTTGTTCACTCGCTCACAGAGGGCCCCAGCACAGTCCTTATATCTGGGGAGACTTGGTCCAACAGACATCTGAGTCATGGTGCTTTGTGTGGGGCCAGGGGAGCTCCACAAACTGTCTGCCCCTAAGATAGAGGCTGAAGGTTCTCTCCACTAAGCAGGAAGCTAGGGCTCTGAGAGGTGCATGGGAAATCCCCACCAATGCTGAAGGCAACAGGACAGTCTGGGGCCTATTCCTGAATCTACTTGTGCTCTTCAAGTTCCCGCATGCTCTGCCATGAAATAGAAACCAAGCTAGGTCTTCTGTCTTCCAGCAGCTCAGTGTGTTTAAGAATGCACTTTGCTTGGTGGAAACAGGATGCAACCCAGTGTTGTCCATGCACTTAATTGGGTACCTATACTGCTGTCAGGGAGCCCTGATAACACATTTGACTGCTAACTGAAAGGCTGACAGTTCAAACTTATCCTGTGACTCTATGGGAGAAAGACCTAGCAATGTACTTCCCTGAAGGTTACAGCCAAGAAAACTCTATGGGGCAGTTCGACTCTGTCACGGAGGGTTGCTATGAGTGGAGAATCTGCTGGACAGAACCTACCAACACTATACTGTCACAAGCTCCTGTAAAGATTTACAGCCTTGGAGAGCCAATCCAGGGTCATTCTGTAAGTCGGAACCGTCTACACGGCACACCACCAACCACCCACCCAATATATGTGTGTGCTTGAAGATGAAATGTCCATGGGCTCTATGCCAATATGCTGACCATGGTTACATATGATGGCTCTTGGATTTAGCCTACCTTGCAGTTTAATTACTGGCTAAGTAATGTGGACTCAGTGTCCTAGCCTCCACTTCAGCTTTATTGCCTGGAAGATGGACACATGTTCTGGGTAAAGAACTAATGGATGATGTCTGGAAGTGCATGATCTCAACACTATGCAAATATATCTAACTATGCAAATATATCTAACGTAGTATTCCAAAGTGTATCATTATGAATCATGTATGGATGATAATTACATTATTCATCATATTGATAGTATTTAAATTAATTTAAAATTGTTGATCTTATGTAGAAGCAGTTTTGCCTTGTTATTTAAATTGAATTTATCCTGTTGGGTGAAGTCAGTTCTCCTTCTTTTCCCACCTGTTCAGAATCAGATTATTTCTTCTATCATTAAAGCTCCCTTAAGCATCCCAGAGAACTCCATATCTTTAAAGGACACAACTCTTACGCCCACAAACTTGTGATAAACCTAATCAAAAAAGATAACACAAACAAATAAAATTAGATCTTAGAAAACAGATAAAATAAGTGACTCAAAGGAGATTTTCTAAAATTAAGGATACTACTATGAAGTTGGAGCCCTGGTGTGGCGCTGTGGGTTAATACGCTAGACTGCAAAGCTGTCTGAACTGCAAGGTCGGCGGTTCAAGCTCATCAGCTTCTCCTTGGAAACCCTATATAGTGTTGCTATGGGTCGGAACCAACTTGACAGCATTTAACAACAACAACTATGAAGTTGGATTCCTGGTGTGGTACAGTAGGATCAGCACTGGACTGTGAGCTACAAGGTAGCCAGTTCAAATTCACCAGTTATTCCTTGGAACCCTATACAGGGTCACTATGAGTGGGAACCAACTGGATGGTACTTAACAACAACAACAGCTATGAAGTTGGGGTTTTGGTGTGGTGCTGTAGGATAAGCACTGGACTGCTAAACGGAAGGTTGGTGGTTTAAACCCACCAGCTGCTCTTTGAAAACCTTATATAAGGTTGCTGGAAGTCGAAGCTGACTCAACAGCACTTAGCAGGAACTATGAAGTTAGGACCAATGGTAGAATTCTCACTTTCCATGCCAGAGATCCGGATTTGATTCATGACCAGTGCCCCTCATTCCCAGCCACCACCAGTCTGGAGGTTTGTGAGTTACTATGATACGGAACAGGTTTCAGTGGGGCTTCCAGACTAAGACAAATGAGGAAGAAAGTCCTGGCAACGTACTTCTGATAATCAGCCTGTGAAAGTCCTGTGGCTCACTATAATATACACCCACCCATGGGAAATGGGGCAGGACCAGGCAGTGTTTCCTGGAGTCAGGGGTCAACTTGACGGTGGCAGCTAATGACAGCAAGCATGACGCTATATGCTAAACACACTAAAAATCTGAACAAAATTGCTTTTCTGAGAAAAATGAAAATTTACTTAAGCTTCAATGATCAAGAAATAGTTGAAAATGTTATTAAATTATTTTCTCTTTAAAAAGCTCTGGAGCCATACGATTTTATCAGTATTCGAAAATTCTTTCAGATTTTAAGAAACGGCTCATTCAAATCCTATATAAATGGTTCCCAAACATAGGAAGAGAAGGGAAAGCTATGATATGATAGGTGACTGAAACCGGCATGATCTTAACATCAAAACATTGCAGAGACAGTACACACAAAAAAAGAGCTCTAGATCAGTGGTTCTCAAGCGAGGCGGACAGTCTTGCCTCCAGAGAGACTTGTCTGGACATGTTTGTTTTTCATCGTCACAACTGGGGAAGGGGAGGCTGGGGGTGTGTTACTGACATCTAGTGGGGAAAGGCCAGGGATGCTGTAAACATTTTACAACACATAGGGCAGTCCTCCAAAGACTAATCTGTACCCAAATATCAGTAAGGCCAAGATTAATAAAGCCTACGATAGATCATTTATGATTATAATTAAGAGGACCCTACGTTTTTAATATTAGAAAGTCTACGAATCCAGCACATCAAATAAGAAAAACTGCATCATTATCTCATTAGATTCCAAATTGACATTTCATGTACAATTCAGTACTATCAGAAAGTCTTAAAAACCCTAAAGTAGGAGGGTACTTCCTGATTGTGAATATTTAGAAAAACAACAACCAAAAAAAAAAAAAAAAGAAAGAAAAGACAACAAAGCTATTTCAAACCAATAGTCAATTATAACTTTGAAACATTAAAGTCATCCTCATTACAATTTGAATAAAACATAGTTGCCTTTAGCACCATTAATATTTGACATTGTTTTTGAAATTCAGCCACCATAGTAGTAAAGTATTGTAGTTTTCATGATGTAGGGACTTGTAAGGATTACTCTTATGAGATAATGATGTGCTGGATTCATAGACTTTCTAATATTAAAAACGTAGTGTCCTCCTATTTATAATCATAAGTGATCTATTGTAGGCTTTGTTAATCTTGGCATTACTGATATTTTGGTTCAGATTAGTCTTTGGAGGACTGCCCTATGTGTTGTAACTACAGAGCCCACTAAATCTAAAATGTTGTTAAGTGCTGTCGAGTCGGTTCCGACCCATAGCGACCCTGTATAGGGTTTTCAAGGAGCAGCTGGTGAGCTTGAACCACCGACCTTGTAGTTCAAACGGCTTTGCGGTCTGGTGCATTAACCCACAGCACCACACCAGGACTACTTCCATAAAACAAACAGAAGTAAGAAACAAAATGACTAGAAAATAGACAAACCTTCATTATTTTCAGACCATGTGTCTACTAGAAAATCCAAAGTAATCAATTTTTTACAAATTTTAATTTTTAAAAATCCAGCAAAGTGGCTTATGTATTAGATAGCAAATGTAATTTCCTGATGCCAATAATAGCTAATTAGAAAAAAAAAAAACTAGGAAAAACATCCCTTTTACAACGTCAATAAACAGAACATTATTTTATAGTGTCAACAAACAAAAAATTACTAGGAGTAATCCTTACAAGTCCCTATATCATGAAAACTACAATACTTTACTGAAAAATACAGAAGACATAGTAGAAAGGAAGATCTTCCACATTCCCAAACATGAATTCTAAATATCATAATGGTGTCAGTTCTCCCAGGTTAATTTGTAGATACTAAGGAGCTCTGGTAGCGTAGTGGTTACGAATCGGGCTGCGAACCTTAAGGTCAGCGGTTCGAAACTACCAGCAGCTCCGCGGGAGAAAGATGAGGCTTTCTACTCCCGTAAAGATTTACACCCTCGGAAACCCTGTACAGGGTCGCTATGGGTCGGAACCGACTCGATGGCACTTAACAACAACAACAACAACTAATCCAAGACTCAAAAGTGATATTTTGAGGGAAGTTGGATAGACTTTAAACAGCATTTAACCTCCTAAATGCAAACATAAATATTTACATAAATTGTTAAAAGATTCTTTTTAAGAGAGTATGACTGCCTTAAACATAGAAGATTCACGTGTGTCAATTTTATTTAAATCAATTATTGAGGGAACCATTAAGATGTTATAATCACCTCAAAGGAGAATTCAACATATAGATACAAATGTAGACAGATAGGTCCAAAACAGGTCAATAAACAATTGCAATCCACTGGACACAGCTACTTTACATTTTTATGGACAAAGATCATTTACACTGTTAACCATTTTCTACAGTTTATGGAGTTATAAAATATTTCAAAGATAATGAAAGGCAGAAATTAGCCCAAAGGCTAGGAACAATATTAGCAGGAGAAAATATATCAAAGTATTAACAGTGTTGCTAAGGAGTAAAATCCTGGGATATTTTCTTTTCTTCTTTATTCTTTTTACTGTTTCCTTTCTCACTTTTTGTGACTTCATTCTTTGAAGATCCTTTTTATTTGTCAAGTCTGTTGGGATGTAGGCAGCTTGTCAAGTGGGAGGTATGGGAACAAGTTATCAATTACAGGTTCTTCCACTGGTTCCCCCTGTGGCTGCCCTAGAGTAGAGAGAAACCCTTTCTTTATTGATGGGGTAGGGTGAACCCTAAAAGCCATACATTTTAATGAAGAAATCCCAGTTGTCCACCCTGGACCCAAAACCTTTGAACCCCATGCTTTATAATTATCTTATTGTTTAACTGGGCTAGACTGGTGAAGCAAACTGATGGGTGCTTTCATACATGTAAAAAGAATGTGGTTTCTTCTGATTGCAGAACCTAAAGGAGCTGGTGCTGGTGGCGGTGGTGGCTTTGGTGGAGGTGGTGGAGGCGGTGGAGGTGGTGGAAGTTTTGGCGGGGGTGTACCACCCGGTTTGGGAGGACTGTTCCAGGCTGGAATGCCCAAGCTGAGATCCACAGCCAACAGGGATAACGGTAAGCAGAGTTTCTTTCTGTCTTAGTTGCTGAAGACGGGCGGAGTTCGATGGTTTGGAGGCCTGGTGTACCCTGCAAGGCGGAAAGCCTTCTAAAATATTTCAGATTATTTTACTTGTCAACATCATTTCAAAGGAGAGACTCTATTTAGCATGGCTCTTTAAAAAAAAAAAAAAAAAAAAATCAGGATCAGAAGGGGTATTTTTAAACAACTCCATAGAGCTATGCCGTATTTGCCCAGTGTCTCTGGGGTAATTTGTACCATTTTTAACTTTTCTAAAGACTGAGCTAGAGTAGGAAGGAAAGGAAGGAGCACACGGAACTTGCTACCCCTGGAAACTGCCTGGTTGACTGACCCAGCTGTGGAGAGCAGTAAATGCTTAGGAACCTCTTTCTGACAACACTGTGCAGCACTTCATATGATATAGTTACAGATCCCACTAAATCTAAAGTGGTGTCTTGTACACACAGGAAGACAGACATTTGGTATTTCCGTACCAGTGATTCTAAGTATTCTCTGCAAGGAGCCATGGAAACGAATTCTACAAGATTGTCCATTAACCTAATGGCAAAGAGAAAGGTTACATCTGATTGTAGCTAATTACTAAAACTTAAATGCAGGCACTCTCTCCTGACTACTACATTAGCTCAAGAAATTTTACCATAAAATTAGTTGTTGTTTAATGTTAATCATGATGAAAGGAATTTTACATCTAATTCTATAACCAGCAAAATCCTTTACCACGTCCAGTAGGAAAGTGTGAATAGGCTCACCTTCATATGAAAAATGGTAAGGTTGCTGAATCGTTCGGCTCAGTGTCAAAATCTGAAAAGAGACAATACCGTAAGAGCTTCTGTCTTGCCAGACTTGCATTTAAATTGACAGCATGTATTCAAAATGATCAAAGGATTTGAGGCATATGATAAATGCACACATTTAGTAGTTTGATAATATGAGTAAGAGAAGAAATTAAGGTAAAAGAAAAATAGAAGTGAAGTGTTAAAATGAAGATAGAATTTAAGTTAGAGCATAAAAGGTATGGCAGAAGATCCTGTGTATGTGTTAGGTGGATGGTAACTGCAGCTTTAATTAATCAGAACTTCGTTGTCACCAAAGCTAAGAGAAAGATAAAACTTGTCACAAGTTGGTGACAGAGAAATATACCACACACTCAAAGAAAGCACAGCCTCTTCTATTACTAAAGTCTAAATAACCATTCTCTATAGAATTCATGTTACCTTCACTGTGTAAATCCCTCCAAATGCTCTCATTGCACCTGGAATATAGAGGGTTGGAGGAGGATAGAAAAAGTCCATGTACCAACACCATTCTGTTGTACTCTCAGAATAAGAGGTGATTCTTTCAAAGCTCTTACAAACTTCATCCTGGTTCTTGTCCATACATAATGGTAAAAGAACTCCCTAAAATCTTCTTGAAAGCTCGTGAGTTCTAGAGCCTGGGTCTACAAGACTCCCTGATTGCTGATGGTCTATTCCTGTACCTTCAGGATGGACCTCACATTCCCTAATTTCTTTAAGTTGTTACTGTTAAATGCCGTCGAGTCGGTTCTGACTCATAAGACCTTGTATAGGGTTTCTGAGGAGCAACTGGTAGGTTTGAACTGCCAACCTTGTGGTTCGGAGTCCAGTGCTGATCCTACAGCACTTGAAGAAAATACTTTTTCCAGTAGTTGGGAATACAGAACTCTGATTTCCTTTAGTGTTTCTAATTTCTAATTGTCTTTTTCCTCCTGTTCTTCAGATTCCGGAGGAAGCCGACCACCAGTTTTGCCACCGGGAGGAAGATCCACATCTGTCAAACCTTTTCCTCCCCCAAGTGGCATAGGGAGATTTCCAGTGCCTTCTCCAAGCCACAGAAGTGGTCCCCCAGAGCCTCAGAGGAACCGGATGCCGCCTCCAAGGCCTGACGTGGGCTCAAAGCCCGATAGTGTTCCTCCTCCAGTACCTAATACACCAAGACCCATTCAATCAAATCTGCACAACCGTGGCTCCCCACCAGTGCTTGGGGCGCTCAGGCAGCCCAGCCCTGGGCCGACACCTCCCCCTTTCCCCGGAAACCGAGCTGCTGCCTTTGGAGGGGGCTCCTTGCGCCAGACACCCTCTGGCTCCTCCTCACCTTTCTCCAACAGGCCTCCCCTCCCTCCCACCCCAAGCAGGGCCTTAGATGACAAGCCCCCGCCTCCACCGCCTCCAGTGGGCAACCGGCCCTCCTTTCACAGAGAAGCTGGTCCACCTCCTCCCCCTCAGAACAACAAGCCTCCTGTGCCTTCCACCCCACGGCCTTCCTCCTCCTCACAGGCCCCACCTCCTCCGCCGCCACCCTGCAGGCCCGGTCCTCCCCCGGTGCCCCCGGGTTCCATCGGCAATGATGAAATCCCAAGGCTTCCACAGCGGAATTTGTCTCTTGCTTCGTCGACACCACCCTTACCTTCACCAGGACGCTCAGGCCCTCTTCCTCCCCCACCCAGTGAGAGGCCCCCTCCTCCCGTGAGGGACCCTCCAGGCCGATCAGGTACGGCAAGACATGGGTGAGTTGTCTCCCTAAAACCGAGCCCACCGAGATGTCAGTAATCATCATATAAATGGGTAGAACCAATCCAAAGCATCAGTGACACTGAATACGGGGGGGCTTCAAAAAGTTCGTGGAATTGAAATCAATGAGATGAAACAAAATGTGTATAAACTGTTGAATGTAAACTTGATGGTCTGCTCAGTAAACCTTCACCAACTAACAATAAAATGTGCAAAAAACATTTTTTTGAAGGGAAAAAATTGTTCATGGAAAAATATCATGAAAACAATGAAATTCTTCCACAAACTTTTTGAAGCCTCTCATGTGTACAGTTTCATATTGACCCCATATAAGCCTCTAAGGAAAGAGAGACCAATCTTTTTGCCCATGTTTTAGAGACGAGGAGATTGGATAATAAGTACAGTTCCACTCTAGTTACTAAAGAAGAGGCTAGGACTTTGATAGTCCTTCTCTGCAGTATTATCCCCACTTTATTACCCTGACTTCACAGAGTGAATTTATTTCAATTGTCTTAAATGAGGAAATAACTTTCGTATTCCAAAGGAGGGTTACGTTATTCAAGGAGAAGAGTTTTTTTAAGAGCCTAACAAACTTCCCAGGTATTTCTCTCTTCTTCTACCAAGGTAGGGTCGCTAAGATCCAGAACCAACTCAACAGCAACAGATTTTTGTGTGTTTTCTTTATTGATTAAGGACAAATATTAAAAAGAGGAGCTCTGGTAGCATAGTGGTTATGAGTTGGACTGCCATCCTCAAGGTCAGCAGTTCGAAACTACCAGCCATTCCGCAGGAGGAAGATGAGGCTTTCTGCTCCCGTAAAGATTTACAGCCTCAGAAACCATATACAGGGTTGTTATGAGTCAGCCGACTCCATGGCACATAGCCAACCAATATCTCTGGTATCCTTGAAGAATCAAATATGGAGACTTTCTCTTCATTAAAATATCACATAAGCATAGAGTCAAAATTTGCATGTTATTTCATGGTTGAAAAGCCATCTGTGCCCTGTCTTGGAAGCACTCTCAGAATGTGACAGGTAAGGAGTCTAGAATTTGCACACTCTGTCCTGTCTGTGACCGATAATAACAGCCGCTTTGAGTGGTTATTGGTGGATTCAGCAGAATCACCCACTTTTCTTATAATATAAATGTCTTTATAACATAGAGCTCTGCAAGTGAAAATTGAACTTTGTCTTTGACCCTGTGACCTCAAGATCCTAATCAATATTGTTGTTATCGTTGTTGTTGTTGTTGTTGTTAAGTGCCATCGAGTTGGTTCCGACCCATAGTGACCCTTCACAGGGTTTCCGAGGCTGTAAATCTTTACAGAAGCTAAAAGCCTCATCTTTCTCCCGCGGAGCAGCTGGTAGTTTCGAATTGCTGACCTTGCGGTTCGCAACCACTACGCTACCAGAGCTCCTTGTTGTTAAGTGCCATTAAGTCAGTTCCAACCCATAGCAACCCTATCTAGTGTTCCCAAGGAGCAAGTGGTGAGGTTGAAACGCAGACCTTGTGGTTCAAACCGACTGCATTCTAGCCACAGTGGAATGGTGGCTTTAAAAGCCACAGATGCCTGGATCCCTGTCCCAGGTTTTCTGGTTGGATACACACTGGGATCAGGGTATTTGAAAGCTCCCCAGTACCTGTTATGCAGCAGTTTGAGAACCACTCCTCTAAATTGCTCTTCCACTACAAGTTGACTACAACTATTAAAAAGCTACTAGTACATGAAAGGAGTCCTGGTGTGGCGCTGTAGGATAAGCCCTGGACTGCTAATCACAAGGTCAGCATTACAACCCACCAGCCTCTCCTTGGAAACCCTATACAGGGTTGTTGTGAGTTGGAACCGACTCGATGGCACTTAAAAACAGCAACCGCAGTCCATTAAAAGCTATTTGAGGTCTTCCCGTTTTAAGTGTTGTCAATAAACTTGTGTGGTGCTGTAGGATAAGTACGGTTGGTGTTGCCAGTGAAGTTAAACCCATGGCATGTGAAGGACTTTTCCCCCAGTAAGTCAACTCCTGTCAATTGGGACTCCAGCTGTGACAGAGATGGGGCAAAACAGAAGCCCTACGAGATATGACACTGAAGACTCCTTGAAAGACCAACCAGGACTAGGCAGTGCCTCCCACCTCCATCCATGTGTGAGCCAAGACTACCTGTCAGGAACATCTGCAGTGGATGTGCTTCTGGCTCTGTTGTGAACATGGTCTTTTTGAGATGGAACCGATTTGAGGGCGCCTAACAACAACATTTGGGTTGTAAATCAGTAGCTAACAAGAAGCATTTATATTTATACCTTTGAAGACCTTGTTCCAACTCATAGCGCTCCTATATAGGATTTCCAAGGAGTGGCTGGTAAATTTGAACCACAGACCTTGCAGTTCAAACTGACCTTGTGGTTCTGTTTTATCCCACAGCGCCACACCAGACTCCATTATGTTTGCATAAAATGCAGCATCTTGCAAGTAGAACACATTGCTGCAGCACAGGAATAATTGCTAAGGCTATTTTGATTTCCAGGAGAAAATGCTCAAGTTCTTTGTTTTTGTTTTTCAGTTTACTAACTACCCAGATAGTTTTTGCATTTGAAGGATGGGAGAAGCAAACTAGGTTTCTTTGGAATTATCAACAGAATAAAAAAAAAGCAATTTGCTTTGACTATTTTCCTAAGAACTTAAAAATGTCTAGTTATACCATACCACCACATTTCTAAAAAATGCTTTCAAATACTTCTATGTTGCTGTTTTTAATTGCCGTGAAGTTGGTTCCAACTCATAGCGACCCTGTGTAGATTTTTTCCAAGGTGTAATTCTTTACAGGAGCAAAAAGCCTCAACTTTCTACTGCAGAGTAGCTGATGGTTCGAACCACACACCTTGTGGCTCACAGTTCAGTGCTTATCCTACAGGGCCACCACACACACCAGACACTTATATGGTGGTGGTGGTTGGTTATGTGCCGTGGAGTCGGTTCCAACTAATGGCAACCCTGTACAGGGTTTCCGAGGCTGTAAATCTTTACGGGAGCAGAAATCCTCATCTTTCTCCCGTGGAACAGCTGATAGTTTCAAGCTGCTGAACTCAAGTTTCGCAGCCCTATTCGTAACCACTATGCTTCCAGAGCTCCTTAGATCCTTATATAGTACTTTTTATTTGCTTTTTTGACTCAGTATTCCCAGCAGCAATGCTATGAGAGAGGTAACTGACACCCTTTTATAGACAGGAAGTTGAGTTCTGTAGGGTAACCAGTTTGCTCAGGGTCCAGATCCCACATTAGCATTTATAACCTTGGACCTTACTTAGCTAGTAGTCACTCTCTGTTAATCTGCCTCCCTGAAGTGGAATAACCAAAAAGGAACACTTACTATACTCAACCACTGAACCAATAAACAACATTCTTATCAATGGAGAAAAGATTGAAGTTGTCAAGGACTTCATTCTTCTTGGATCAACTATCAACATTCACAGAAGCAGCAGTCAAGAGCTCAGACGACATATTGCATTAGGCAAATCTACTGCACAGGAACTTTTTAAAGTGTTGAAGAGCAGAGATGTCAGCTTGAGGACTAAGGTGCGTCTGACCCAGGCCATGTTATTTTCATTAACCTCATATGCATGTGAAAGCTGGACAGTGAATAAGGATGATCATAGATGAATTGATGCCTTTGAGTTGTGGTGTTGGAGGAGAATACTGAAAGTGCCATGGACTGCCAAAAGAACCAATAGATCTGTTTTGGAAGAAGTGCAGCCAGAGTGCTCCTTGGAGGCCAGGATGGCTAAGCTTCGTCTCTCCTACTTTGGACATATTGTCCAGAGGAACCAGTCACTGGAGAAGGATGTCATGCTGGGTAAGATGGAGGGTCAGAGAAAAAGAGGAAGACCCCCAATGAAATGGATTGGCCAGGTGGCATCATTGATAGCATCAAGTGTGGCAGCAGTAGTGAGGTTGGCCCAGGATCGGACATTGTTTCGTTCTGCTGTGCATGGGGTCGCTATGAGTCAGTTCCGACTCGATGACACCTGACAACAACAACATATATACTCAAGATGACTGATCTTTGGTTTCCTGATGCCACTTCTGTATCCATCATAGAAAAGTGCTTATGTAATTACTGGTAATACTGCATTTACAGAACACAGGTTGTTGCTAAGTGTCATGGAGTCGGTTCCAACTCATTGTGACCCTGTATAGGGTTTCTGAGAGTTTAAATCTTCATGGGAGCAGAAAGTCTCATCTTTCTCCAGCAGGTAAAGAACATAGTCCTTCTAAAATCCATAAACAATTACATAGCTGTCCTATTCATTTTTAAAATAACATTTAGTAAGCTTGATGTCACAGTAAGTAGTTCAGTAACTATTTAAAAGGACTAATAAAATGTTTTTAAATTATCCCATTGTCAGTATAAACAAATGATCACCTGCTCTCAGTTTAACTGTATCATCTCCAATCTTATTACTAATTCAAAGCGAAAATAAATATTTAGCTATCAACATGTACTTGTTTTGCATATATGTGCATACATATTGCATTTATGTAATTACATGGGTGTTGGAGGAAACTCTGGAACTTGCTCTTGAATACACAGTAACTAAAGTGAATAGGAGAAATAATGACATGAAAGAGCTGAACTGAAGATTTCAAAAGTAAAGTATTATACAGAAATGTGCAAAGACCTGGAGTTAGAAACCAAAAGAGAAGAACATACTTGGCATTTCTCAAGATGAAATAACTGAAGAAGCCTCAACTTGCATTATTGGAGGATTCTATGGGGAAATTATTGAATCACACCAGAAGCATCAAAAGAAAATGGAAGAATACACAGAGTCACTGTACTCAAGAAAATTGGCCAATGTTCAGTCATTAGAACTTATGGTACTGAAGGAAGAAGTCCAATCGGCATTGAGGATATTGATGAAAAACAAGGATCCAGAATGTCATCTGAGATGTTTCAACAAACTGATGCACTCAGCTATCCCAAGAAATATGGAAGGCAGATATGGAAAGGATCCATATTTGTACCTATTCTAATTAAAGGTGATCCAACAGAATCCACAAATTATCAAACAATATAATTAATGCCACACCACAAGTCCCTCAAAATGTTATTGAAAATCATTCTTAAATGGTTGTAGCAGTAAGTTGGTGGCAGGCTCAGTTCAGAAGAAGACATGGAATGAGGGATATAATTGCTGACCTGAGATGGCTATTGGCTGAAAGCAGAGAATACCAGAGAGATAGTTACTTGTGGGTGTTTTTTTTTTTTACTATGCTAAGGCATTTGGCTATGTAGAACATAACAAATTATGGATAACATTACAAAGAATGGAAATTCCAGAACATTTCATTGTGATCACGCAGAACCTGTACGTAGACCAAGAGGCAGTTGTTGGAACAGAGCTAGGGGATACTGTGTGGTTTTAAATCAGAAAAGGTAAGCATTAGGGTTATATCCTTTCAGCATCCTTATTTAATTTGGATTCTGAGTAAATAATCAAAGAAGCTGAATTATATGAAGATGAATGCAGCATCAGGATTACAGGAAGACTCGTTAACAACCTTCAATATGTAGCAAGCAATCTTGCTTGCTGAAAGCAAAAAGGACTTGAAGCAGTTACCAACGAAGATCAAAGACTACAGCCTTCAGCATGGATTACACGTCAACATAAAACAAAAATCTTCACAACTGGGCCAATGAGGAACATCAAGATAAATGAAAAGATTGAAGTTGTCAAGAATTTCATTTTTATTGGATCCACAATCAGCTCATGGATGCAGCAGTAAAAAAAATCAAACAACATATTGTGATGGGCAAATCAGCTACAAAAGACCTTTTTAAAGTGTTAAAAAGCAAAGATATCACATTGAGGACATCCGAGTCATATTTTCTTTTTTTTTAATTAAATGTTTTTATTTTGCATTGAGTGAAAGTTTACAGGGCACATCATCAGCTTCACATTCAACCATTCATATAGCTTGTTTCATTACATTGATTATTATCCCCGCCATATATCCTCAGTTTACAGTGTTTCTCTCTATCCTCTTTAGCTTTTTTTTTTTTTTGGATGGGGGGTACTTGGCTTTTTGGAATTTACAGTCTCGGCTTTTAGGGAAGGTTTTTACATTTGTCTGTGGATATCCAGGGCTCATGTATGAGATTACTAACAAGCATTACTGAATAATCAGATGAGGGACAGTTTGCTATGTCTACTAGGTGGCTAGAGTCTGATCCTCAGAGCCTATGGTTTGGACGGTCATCAACGCTTGGGCCCACAGGGGCTTGGCCTCCTGACCGGGTCTGCCAAGTCATATTTTCAATCACTTCATATGCATGCGAAAGCTGGGCAATGAATAAGGAGCACTGGAGAAGAACTGAAGCCTTTGAACTATGTAGTTGTTGTTGTTAAGTGCTATCCAGTCTGTTCTGGCTCATAGCAACCCATCCGGCCCATAGTGACCCTTCCGGCCCATAGTGACCTTGTATATAGGTTTCTGAGGAGCAGCTGCTGAGCTTGAGCCACCAACTTGGTGGTTCAAATTGACTTTGCAGTCCAGCGCATTAACCCACAGCGCCACACCAGGACCCTGTAGTATTCACAAAGAGTATTGAAGGGCACCATGGACTGCTGGAAGAATGGACAGATCTGTCTTGAAGACTTAACAGCCAGTATGTTGCTTAGAAGCAAAGACGGTGAGAATCATGTATTGTGGACATGTTATCAAGAGGAACCAGTACCTAGAGAAAGACATCATGCTTTATAAAGTAGAAGGTCAACAAGAAAGAGTACGATCCCAAGGAGATAGCCTGCCGTGGTGGCTGCAACAATGAACTCATACGTAGAAGAGATGGTGAGGATGGTGCAGGATCAGGCAGTGTTTCAGTCTGTTATACACAGAGTTGCTTTGAGTCAAATCGAGCTTGAGGCACGTGACTGCTAATTTCTTGGTTAATTCTCCAAGAAAGCCTTCCCATATCTCAAAATTCCATACTTAAAGGGATACATGGTATGGCACTGCAGGATAATGCACTGGACTGCAAGGTCAGTTTGAATCAAAGGGTCAGTGGTTCAAACCCACCAGCTGCACCTCAGAAACCCTATACAGGATTGCTATGAGTCAGAACCGACCCGAAGGCACTTAACAACATAGCAATCCAGCAAGCACTCAGTTATTGCACATCGATGATGACTGTGGTACAGGGAATGTAGGATGTAAGGTATCAAATGAAATCTCTTTTCTTTCCGTACAGGCCCTCTCCCTCCGCCTCCTCCAATAAGCAGAAATGGCAACACGTCTCGAGCTCTGCCTGCCACCCCTCAGTTGCCGTCCAGGAGTGGGCTAGATAGCCCCAGAAGTGGGTCCAGGCCTCCTCTTCCTCCTGATAGGCCTGGTGCTGGAGTACCTCCCCCACCTCCCCCATCTACATCAATTAGAAATGGCTTCCAGGATTCATCCTGTGAAGGTGAGATGTGGTCCCCTCTCCTTGGAAACGTTTACAAGCTGTAGAACAGCAATCAAATAGCAAATTTGTTTGTTTGCAGTAACATTTCTTGGTTTGTATTACCCTCATTGTTATGGCACTGCATTGATCTGACTAACGTTTTAGGAGCCATCATGATTTCAAGTTCAAGATGGTAATCACCTCTTACTACTTCCCAAGAAGGCAGATAATTTTCCTCTGACCTGTTCCTTGTTTGAGTCTTGTGTTTTGTTAACTTGTCAGAGATTCCAGAATTTCTGAAAAGAACCATTGCTGTAGTTTACCTTCTTGTTATTTCATTTTTAAACAGTTTGTTGCAGGTAAGAGGCCAAAGGCCAACAGATACAGAATTGCTTACCTCTTCCATTGTTAATCTGAGTGGTTCCAGTTACTCGTGGGCCCCCTAGTGGGAAGAAAGATGTCCCAAACCTTGCCAGCCCCTCCCCTCCCCACTCCTGAGAAGGACCGGTTGGGTCCTAATCACTCTAGTTTTATAAGCAGGGACCTGCCTTTTCTTTGATGAGCATGCCAGTATATTTTAGTGATATTTATTAGCAGGCCAGTGTATTTAGAGATGTTACTCAGTAACATTTGTAGCCTTTTCAGCTTTTCTTGAACATCTAGACATAAAACTGGAAGTGAGTTTTGCCATTTTTTCTGTTTTACATTCTGTCTTTTTTCATGACCTAACATCTTCATAGCAGATTGTCTGTTACTGAAGATCCTGTTTGTTTCTCCCTAGATGAGTGGGAAAGCAGATTCGTCTTCCATCCGATTTCTGATTTGCCACCTCCAGAGCCATATGTACCAACGACCAAAAGTTATCCCAGTAAATTAGCAAGAAATGAAAGCCGGAGTGAGTATTTCTTCAAGGGCATTTGGTAGATTCCATCTTGAATAGAAAAGGCTATGTCCCATGGGGTATACAGGAAATCCAGGTCTCTTGCCTGGAATGGGTTGAAAACCCCATTCAAAACTTTGTAAATTCTGGTCCCTTCTATATGCTGTGGAAATTGAAAATATCCAGAATACATATGAGAAATAATTATTTTAATATGTCATTATCAGCTCAGAATACTTTTGGTTTACTAGTGAATTAAATAGTTTTATTTTGCTTGTTTGAACAACCTTTACCCCTTTTTAATCTTTCTGAGATAGGACAAATAGAGCCATCTTCTATTCCTGCTAGTTAAGAGTCTAGCAAAACCTCATATTAATGATTATGAAAGCTAGCTATAACTGCTTCCATCTTTTAAATGTATTATGATTATAGCTTTACCAAGCATTACATGAAAATTTTAAGTATACTCATAATCTCTCCATCTCAACATTACATATTTTCATTTTACCATTTTCTCTATATATAATTCTGATTTTTATATAGTCATAATTATGGAGTACAGTTTCATGGTGGTAAAATTTACATACCATTTCCTAGTAACGTTTCCCCATTTGACCACATGGTTTTCATTTAACATTATGCCATGAAGTCAGCATTCAATAATTTAGTTTATCATTATTAGACTTTTAGATTATTTTGGGGTTTTATTCTAATCTATCTAATGCTTCCATAAAGAAGCAACTTTCTTTTTCCCTGTTGAAGAGAAAATAGACAAATAAAAAGATATAGGACTAAGAAAGAATTTGCATGAAATACACATATATTAGTGATGAGGCTCACACTAATGATGTAGCAGTCTGAGCCTAGAGCCAAGCTCCCAAGCCAGAACTTGTGTGGAGAAAAAGTTATTGAGCATGTCAAATAATTGTCACCATGTCCCTAGCTGTGGCCCTCCTGCTTAGGTTGCCCTTTGTCCATTTTTTTTAAGAATAGGAAACAAAAATTTAGAAGGAGTCACATCAGGACTGTAGGGTGGGTGCCCGATGATTTCCTATTGAAATGCCCACCACACTGCCCTTGTTTGATAAGAGGAATGAGCAGGAGAATTGTCAGTGTAGAGAAAGATTCTCTAGTGAAGCTTTCCCCAGGCATTTTTCTGGTAAACTTTGGCTAACTTTCTCAAAACTCTCATAATAAACAGATGTTGTAGTTCTTTGGCCCTCAAAAAGACAGAAGTAAAAATGCTTTGAGCATCCCAAAACACTGTTACCATGATCTTTGATCTTGACTGGTCTGCTTTTGCTTTGACTGGACGACTTCCACCTCTTTGACTTCAGCACTGTACTTGGTAGAGCCAGGTTTCATCTCCTCAGAAATCCTTCAGGATCATGACCGCACTTGTTTAGAATTGAAAGCTCTGTTCTCGTCTGCAGCTGATCTGAACCCAACAGTTTTGGCATCCATTAAGCAGAAAGTTTGTTCAATTTTATTTTTTCAGTCAGAATTGTGTAAACTGAACCAGTTGAGACCAATATCTGTGATCTCAACTATTGTTTCTACTGTTGATCTTGGGTCCTCTTAAGTGCTGTCAAGTTGGTACCGACTCAGCGATCCTGCATAGGGTTTCCGAGGAGTAACTGGTGGGTTTGAATTGCTGACCTCATTCATGGTTTGCAGTTCAGTGCTTACCAGCGCCACACCAGGAGTCCACCTTCAAGTAAAGCATGGACAAAATTATTTTTTTTCCCTCCAGAAACAAACTATCCACATCATTTTGAGAGGAAAAAATTAATCTTTAGAGTATGGACTAGATTAATTTTTTTCCTCTCAAATTCATGTGGATAGCCTGCTGCTGGGGCTTCATCTTCAGCATTGTCTTGTCCCTTCTTAAAATGAGTTAGCCATTTGTAAACTGCGGGTTTCTTTGTGGCGTTGTTCCCATAAACTTTTAGTAAAGCATCAGTCATTTTACCGGTCTTCCATGCAAGCTTCACCATACATTTGATTTTTGCTCTTACTTCTGTTTTATCAAGCATTCCTGTTGCCCTGAGAGGGGGCTCTTATCCTTCCTAGTGCCTCAACCTGGAGTCTGTTCAGACTTGTTATAACAAGTTAGGATGAGTTTATTTTGGTGCAAAAAATTTTCAGTTTTCGTAATAGTTTTTGAGGGTTCCTTGTAGCGTATCATTAGTAATTATACTGATAATGAGTAATGACTTTGAAAGATATGCAAGCTAACATGTAGCTATATATGATCCTATTTCTAGAAAAAAAGTTAAGTGTATAGAATAAAACAAATGGAGAATATGCATGTAATGTGATTATCTCTAGATGTTACTAGCTTGGACTATTTTTTTTTTTTGGTTGTCATTCATCCATATTTTCTAAATCTTTTCTAGTAAGCACATACTCTGTGTCTGATAAACAGAAAATTAATTTTTTGAAAAAAAAAGCTTTCTTTGTGGGTGGGGAGTCCTTCTCTGGTAATACTAATTCAGGTCCTTTCTTACTCACTTATTCACATTTGCTAGTTAGTCTTCAGCCTTGGTCATAGACCATAAAACCAAACCCACTGTGGTAGAATGAAATCTGACTCATCTCAACTCTGTAGAGCAGAGAACAACTGCACCTAGGGTGTCCAAGGCTGTAAATATTGATGCGAGCACACTGCCACATCATTCTCCTGCAGAACATCTGTTAGGTTCAAACTTACAACCTTTTAGCTTGAAGCCAAATGTTTAGCCACTGTGTCAATAGGGCTCCTTGCCTTGGTCATCGGGGCTAAGATAGTGGGTACCTCTGCCACCATCCCTGAAATTCCACAGTAAAGACATAAGAAATTCTAACCAAAATTATATATGTGTCTCTTTTTACCCCATCAAGGTGGATCCAATCGAAGAGAAAGGGGTGCCCCCCCACTTCCTCCTATCCCAAGGTGATCCTCATCTGCCTTCCTCCACACGAGCTCAAGAGCTGCTTTTATTGTTGCTATCCAAGAATTGCACGCCCTCTTCCCCTTTTCTTTCCCTTGTACCGTTTATACTGGCAGCAGGGAAAAGAGGTGAGGTAGGAATATGTGTGCTAGGGGGTGGGGGTGGGAATCCAGTAAAGGAATGCACCTGGCTTTTTATATTATGTATATCCTCAAAGCTATGCTTGCTTCAGCTACAGCCCACTAGCGTTGGCTGCTTGAAAGTGGATAGACTTTTATGGCAAGTAGGCAGAGATGAACTTTAGCCCAGCTTTCAACCAACAGATTCTAACATTTTTTGCTACAGAACCATTATTATTCAAGCTGTTTACTTCCGTGCCTTTTATGCATGCTTGTCCTCCTACCTGTTTCCATGAACCATGGCCCACCTAAGCAGGTAGCTTGAATGAGTATTCCCATGATACTTCAGGGTAACAGGATGTCCAATCTTTGGCAGACTGAGTTAGGGTCTAAGACCAACTTTCCATTAGAAGTAACAGAAATAAAATGTGAGCCACGAACACAATTAAAAATTTTGTAGTAGCCACATTCTAAATTATTTTTTTAAAGCAGGTGAAATTTTAACATGCTTTATTTAACCCTATGTATGCAAAATATTATTTCAACCTCGGATCAATATGAAAATTCATGAGATTTTTACTTTCTTTTTGGTACTAAGTCTTCCAATCTTGGTGTGTATTTTACATCTCCATTTAGACAAGCCACAGCTCAAGGGCTCAGCAACCACATGTGACTCGTGGCTACCATGTTGGACAGCACACATGTAAAAGACAGAGGCTAATGGAAAAACCTCTTGGCTTTTTTATTTTGCAGGGTTTGGTTTTTTGGGTTTTTTTAAGACATGATGAACTTTAGCAATCCAAAACATAATTACTAAAAATGAAGTCAGGACACGGCACCTTGTTTGGTAGTCATCTTGCCTTAAGATTTGATTCTTATTTTCCCTCCCTTCTAAATATGTGTATACAAGTATTGTTTCACAGTAGCAAGGTCAGAAATTGATCTAGTATGGTTTACAGTCACATGGGATAAAGCCATTGGAAAGAGACTGAAAGTCCATCGAGTTTTCTGGGCTGAGACCCAGCTGGCTTGTGCACTCACTTGTTGGCTGGACTCCTTGCCTGATGGATTTGAAGCCTCTCCCAACAAGCATGCAGCTTAGGGCTAGGAGAGGCTGGGCAGACTTCATCATGGGAGGAAGGAAGAAAGTCAGGGCAAGGTCACAAATCCCAAGCATGGAAAAAGGGAAGAGATTTCAGTTGGTGGGTAAAGCTCGCTCCAAAAATCTTAATCTGATACTTGTAGGGTTGAGAGAATTAGGAAGATAGTGACTGGAAACTGGAGGGAATTTGTTCTGAATCTATCAGGAAAATAATTTGTCTTAGATCTATGCAAATAAAGCTCTGCTGAAAGACTATAGGAAAAGCCAGCCTTGCCTTTTTATATATGATTTTGTTTACAAAACCTTACTGGGATTTTTTAATATAGCTCTAGAGATGGGAAACAGTATTTCCACTTAGATTTTTTTATATGGTTGATTATGTTTAAAATCACCATTACTTTTTAAAAGTGTATGACCACGTATGTATATGTTATCTACATAAACTTTGTATCATGTTTTCAGTGTATTATCCATGTATTACTGGCAGATTATAATCAGTCCAAAGAAAAATTTGAAAAATGCATTCCTACATAGAGAATAAACGTTTCATTTATATAAAAGCAAAGAAACTTAGAGGTGTCTAACAAATGATAAGGTTACCAATTTGAATATATTTTTATAACATTCCTTGCCAAAGTCCTAGACTTGATACATTAGAGAAGTTGGGGTTTTTTGTTTGCTTGTTTTTACCCCAGTCCTGTATTATTCATCTATTTTCCATAGAGTCACTTGGGGCCTGTTACCCAGAGAGAATAAAGAAATATAAAGGTGTAACAAGGTTGGCCAAGTATTTTACCTTTAGCATTTTGATAATCTAGCTGCATCCTTTTATTTTGGATTCTTTGATCCAACTTCAACAGTGATAGACATTCCTATGACAAATCTAATGAGCCTCTTCAGAAAAGCTGAAGTTTGGGCTTCCTACAGAAGATGGAAGAGAAAATCTAACGCAGAGAAAGTGGGTCTGAATTTTGTGAGCGGTGGTTAAGAATTGACCAATTTTCATGTCGGTCCCAACTTCGCAGAGACCACCATAAAGTTTTGAAATAGAGTCACAGTTCACAGTTGTCATTGATCCAGAATAGAGGTGTTTTTGAATGTACTTTTTGAAAGTGAATGTCTCCTTAGTATACCTACACACACTTTTTGAAAATTCATAATCTCATTACATCCACAACTTTGAATAGGTTGTACTCTAAATATAGCAGATCACAAGAGTGAGTATTTTGTTCCCTGAAATCAGAGCTCACATCTGATTTTTCTCCATAAAGTTTCCAGATTCAAAATGCAATACAGTATTTTAACATTCACATATCATTTTATATTGAAACTTATTACAGTATTAAAATGTAGTGTTTAGTATTTATTTCACTGTGCATTTATTTGATTTAGTAAAAACCAAGAGCAATGTTGAATCCAATGGTGCCTTACTTTGTAATTTGAAAAAGAAATCCATTTTTTTATGTCTAAGTAGCAGATTATTTGCATATTTGTAAAACTTGTTAGGCCTTTGGGTGACTCCCACCAGGCTTGAGCCTCTCTGGTCCCTCCCAGAGGAGACCAGCGACATCAGCCAGTCCTTGCTCCAAATCAATTGCCCTGTAGTCAATTCCAACTTACAGTGACTGAGTAAAACTGTTCCTGTAGGGTTTTCAAGGTTGTAAATCTTTGTGGAAACACACCACCACATTTTTCTTCCATGGAGCAGCTGGTGGGTTTGAACTGTCAATGGTTGAAAATGCAACAGGACCTGGTGGCATATGATACTCAAGTACTGGAACAAGATACAAAGGGACCTTGACACCCACATCAAGAAGGTGTTTGACAAGAAGTACAACCCTACCATGCACCTCATCATGGGGAGAAACTTCGATAGTTATGTGACATGTGAAACCAAGCAATTTGTTTACTTCTACCTGGGTCAAGTGGAGTCCTGGTGTGGCTCTATGGGTTAATGTGCTGGAGTACAAGATCGGTTTGAACTGCAAAGTCGGCAGTTCAAGCTCACCAGCCTGTCCTTGGAAACCCTGTGCAGAGTCACTATGGGTCAAGACCGACTCAACGGCATTTAACAACAACAACAACCTGGGTCACATGGCTATTTTTTTCAAATCTGGTTAAAGCCTGGACTGTGGCCATACACCCTGTCCACAAACAAGGACTGCAGCCTCAATTCCAAATACAGAGACTGAAATCTTTAGCCTAGCAAAAGGAGCACCTCCATCTTTGACCCTTCATTGTGTTGTTTTATACCCGGCCTTCTCTCTACTAATTTGTTGTGGTTATAAAGCAATGAGCAAAACCAACAGTTAGGTCTTTATACTTTAACTTGTAATATCAATTTTGTTATTTCAGTAGCAGAAATAGGAAGATTACTAAAATGCCCAAAAAATTCTAGCATGAAAATGTTTCCTGTTTATAGTCAGGGACTATAGAAGGGGAAAACAATCTTTTTCATACCACTGCACTATGTAAACATGCACATTTTGATATATATCATCAGGATAGTTTAAATGGTGGGGCAGAGTCTACACTAGACATCTGCATCTTTGTAAGTCAGCCAGACAATAAATAAAAAAATGGTATGTGTGTCAACTGGTGGTTTTTCTGTAAGTTTTGTCCGTGTAAATGAGAAGTCCTGATGTGGCGCTGCAGGGTAATGCACTGAACCGCAGATCAATTTGAACCACAAGTTCAGAGATTCATCCATCAGCCACTCCTTTGAAACCTTATACAGGGTCACTATGTACCAACTCAAAGGTACTTTACAACAACAACAATGTAAAGGAAAAAGCAAGAGACTGTTTTCTACTTTATACTGTGATAAAGACAACTCCCCCCCCCCCAGCAAAAAAAAGGTCCATATAAGTAAATATATATTGCACCTACTTTCTAAGTCATTTTTTGTTTTTCTTGAGGCCCTGCATCTTAGTCAAAAGCTGTTGTCTGTTTACTTGTGGTCAAATTTAGATTGAATCCTGACTCTGCCCCTGGCACCCTGTGAGGCAATAGACAAGTTGTTTAACTACTCTGAACTCTAGTTTCTTCATTTGCAAAATGAAAAAACTTCTTACAGAGGTTTTATGAAGTATTTGAAAGTAAAACTAGATGGTGGAAGGAGCGGAAGGCAATGATAAAGACTAGAATTGATGCTGATAAATATAGGAGAAGCCAGTGGAAATTCAGGAGGCCTCATAATGTTTGAACTAGCCATTCTCTGACTCTGTGTGTGTACATATCATGGTAAGTTAAGAGCTTGCCATGACCTGGCTCCATCAATTACTCAAAAACCACTTGTCTAAGTCTCCATTTTCTTATATGTGAATATCTTTATGGACTCAATATGCACATTAAATGAGATCCTTCACTCAGCACCATGTATGACTTATAAGCACTAAACAAATCGTACCCACTGTTAACTGAACTCAGAAATATTTTACATAATGATTCCAAATTAACTGGAACCAAATCTGCTAGAAGGGAATTTACTAGGGTACTTTTAAAATAAAAGGGGCATTAGCAGAAAAACTATCAGTGTCAGAAATGCAAAGCATTCTCCAGGCAAGGGCTCTTCACATGCTATCAATCCCCTTATATCTTTGTTGTTAATGTTGTTAAGTGCCTTTGAGTCATTCTGACTCATACCAACCCTGTATAGGGTTTCCAAGGAGTGGCTGGTAGATCTGAATCATCAGCCTTGTAGTTAGCAGTCCAACAGGCCTGGAAAATGAAAAAGTCATGTTGCTTCAATCCTCAAAGGAATATTATTAGACTTAAAATCATAGAAGTTAAAGCCCTCAAATAACTTATAGTGGGCTTAGAATTTATAGTTTACAGTGGAACACTTTTTTCATCTCTCATA